GCATTGACGTGTTCAAAGGACATGCTACTGGACGTCTTGGACAACCTCCCTCGTCTGAGAATGTCAAGCAATCAGTTCAAGATGATCCTGTGGATTCTCAAGCAATGTAACGTCTCGAATGTCCCGTCATATAACGGCTTTCGCAAGATGCAAGAGGCGCTTCGTAAGCTTTGCGGCAGCGAACCTAAAGCGTACACGTCCAGTGTGGGTAATCGTTTCTTCGTCAACGATATCCGAGAGACTATCGCACGGGTAAGACTCCAGTTGCTACTTGTCTTCCCTGCTCATTCGAATTCTTCAGGACTTCTCTAATCCTGAAGTTGCCAAACACCTTCAGTTTTATCCGGAGGAGACAACGGGACCCATTTCCGAGGTTTGGCAAGCTGAACGATGGAAAGAGTTCAAACCCTCCGAACTGACTCCCATGTACTCTCGCGGATTGCGCCAATTCTTCATTGACGAGGTTGCGACACTCAATGATGGAAAATTCGTGCTTCCAGTGGCCTGGATCGTCAGGGATGGAGTTCTGTGCGCTGACTACTTTGAAGTTACTCCACACGTCGTACGCCACATTCCAATTTTTCTGATTCCGAGTGACACTATATAATTATCAGACTGGTTGGACAATCGCCGAGGATCGACAGTCTGTGGCCGCAACAAGGTTCTCTTTCAACTACCACGATGTCATTGAACGTATCGGTGCCGAGATAAACTGGGCAGGTCCGTTGTTTCTTCCAACCTTTCCGTTATTCGGAATCTCGGAATCTTATACTTGACCCAGATGGCGTAAACACACCCAAAATGCCTAATCCGCTCCGAGAACTCGCCGGGGGAGAGGACTTGTATGTGGTGATGGTGCCAATCTGGGCGGACGACGTCTCGGGCAATAAATCGAAACAGTACAACAAGCATATCAACATGTACCTTGCCAACTCCAACCTACCTGGGCGCCTTCTTCAGCAAGAATATTTCGTTCGTTTCGTGTCAACGTCGCCACACGCGACATCTCCGGAGCAATTTTCGGCGTTGAAAGAGCAGATACAGTGAGTGTACGCCCCATCCTGGAGAATCTGGTACTTGAACATTATCCCAACAGGGAAACACATACGAAACCGATCCCTTGCTATAATGCCGAGACGAAACGCAACTGCCGTGTAATTCTGCGCGTACCGAGTCTCCCAGCAGACAATCCGCAGCAGTCCGAGGAAGCGTCACACATGGGTGGGAACGCGAATTGTGGATGCCGTCGCTGCCTAGCCGGGGGCCCACACGAGGTGACCGAGTCCGATGCGGGCTATCATGCCATGCATTATGTGAGGTTTATTATCTTCGAACCGGCGAACTCATCTCTGATTCGGTCTCAATGACAGGGTGGTGTTCCTCGGTTCGCGGCTGACACCAAGAAGAACCTGGAAGAGCAAATCAAGTTGGCCATGGGCGGTGTTGAGGCCCCCATTTCTCGAATGCAAACCGCGACCGGCGTTAAAGACAAAGTTGCCCAACATTGGATCGAAATCTTGCTCAAAAAGTCACGGGAAATGAAGTCCGCCAACCCTGGTCGCACAGCTGATTCGATCAAGGAAGAGCTCGAAACTTGGCTCTCGGAGCAGCCGGGGGATAAAGTCAACCCGCTCCTTGACATTGCGGGTGAGCGTTGTCTTTTAAAGCTTGATTACGGTGTTGAGCTTGGATCAAACAGGCCTGGACCCCAATCGCGATACACCTGTCGAAATTCTCCACACCATCCTCCTTGGAATCATCAAGTATGTTTGGTACACACTTCACTCCGGATGGTCCGAGGAGCAGCGGGATCTATTCGTTATTCGACTTCAATCGACCGATATTGATGGGTTGACCATTCCTCCCATTCGCGCTGCGTATATGATGCAATACCGGAACGGGCTCATCGGCAAGCATTTCAAGACACTCATGCAGACCATGGTCTTCCACATGCACGACCTCGTCAGCCCAGAATTATTCACGTTGGTCAAATCGGTCTGTGCATTAGGCGCATCCCTCTGGGTTCACGAAATCGATGACATGGCGAAGTACAAGGTACGGGTGTATAGTAATATTCTCCCGGTTTATTTGGACTCATATGATGCTATGCAGAGCGACCTGGACATTCTCATCGGGAATGTACTTGACGCCTTCGGCGACCAGGATCCAGCCAAAATTCTCCTCAAGATCAAACTTCATCTTTTGCCCCACATTCCCGACGATGCGTCGCGCTTTGGGCCCCCGATCAGAAGTTCCACCGAGATCTTTGAATGCTTCAATGCAATCTTTCGTCTGTGCTCCATTCTGAGTAACCACCAAGCTCCCAGCCGCGACATTGCCTTGAAGTTTGCGTCGATGGATCGCATGAAGCATATTCTGAGTGGCGGTTTCTGGGAAGTTGACGGTGAATGGATCCAGGCCGGACCCAACGTTCTCTCTGTCCTCAAAGACATGCCAATCATTCAGCGACACTTGGGCTGGGTGCCGCCGACGACGATCATTCCTGGTAATGTGCAGTAATCACCGGATTGCTCACGCTGACCTTCTGCTCAGGGAAGATGCGGATGGCCTCAAAATCCAAGTCGCCGTTCTTGGGATGGAAGGATACACTGGCGTCCTCTCCCACAAACAAGTTGCCAGAACCTCTCTATGCCGCTGTTCGTTGGCGCAAAGCCGTTGGTGTTACAGCTCAATCCGGTGACTTCTGCCGCGAACGATCGTGGATTTTTGCCCGGAACGAGGAGGTGCGTCTCGGAGTCGCCCTTCTGTTTCTCTTTACTCACACACATTCCAGAATGCAGTGGTTTTGGGACGCATTCGTGAGGTCGTGATCCCCGAGACATCTCCTGAGGGTCTTCCGAGTGGTGTTATCACTCTGGATAGATTTGTAGTATCTGAAGTCCTCCATCCGGATTTTGGGATGCCGGTACTGCAGCGGCCAACTGACGCGAGTCTGCAAACAGTCACTGTGTCTCCAACGGTGAGAGTTTAATACTTTTGTTCGTATCCGACCTAACAGGATGATTCAGGCAGTCATGTTTCGCTTTTCCGCGGCTCATGATTGTCGCTTGGTTAAGTGTGCACCAACAGCGTTACGGCCCGTTTTCCAGGAGCGACAAGAAACAACACGGACGACCAAGCTATTGGCACACGGCGACGATGAACATTTTGTGATCAACATGGCTGCACTCCACAACGCGACCCTACTCCGTCGCAATTTACCTGTGGCTCTCACGGTGCCTCGACCGCTCTATCCGGATCGCGAAGCTCATCACCACGAAGTCGCCATACGGTTGCGATCCCTCCAACGTGTGAAGCGCGCGCGCACTCAAGAGAAACGCCGAGCGACGATGAAAGCCAAGAAGCTGGCCCAAGCGGGGGCCAACCACACCTCGGATGAGGGCAGCGAACCAGAGGAGGAGGAAGAGGAGGAGGCGGAGGAAGAGGTAGCACCACGTCGAAAGCGCGCCCGGGGCAAATAATTTGTACAGCAACCCGTAATATAGTTGAAAGATTTCTGGCGAATGGGGGACAGGAAGAAAATATTTGGCTGATGTTCATGAAGTTCTACGTTGGTTACTGTACATCTCTGAATTATTGCTAAGAATGAGGCTTCGGAGGAAGGGAGAACGGATCGGGTTTCACGCTGCGGAACCTCTGTGATGGCCGCGGTGAATCCTCGGTCTTGCTCTCCAGTTTGGTACGTTTGCGACTCGGTGCAAGCTGTCCGCACAGTAATCAGACATTGCAAGAAATTTATATATGTGTCAACCGACGCACCTTACGATAACTGGGGCTCAATGATGCGACAGGCTCAGCTTGGTGTCTCGCATCCTTCGCTCGCACATCAATCGAGTCCTCAGTATCGGAGCAATCTGCCAGGGAGCTCTGTGCACTTCCAGGTGCCTGAACACTCTGGCTTCCAGATCCCACTGGGCGTCGAACAAGGTGCAGTGGACGAAGCGGCGAGTAATCGGGCTGCCGTGGTGACAATTCCGACAGTGGACCTTGTGGAGTCTCCGGAACCTCGCTCACTTCACGATTCGACTGGCTGATAGGCAGCAAGAATTGTCGACATGGAGCTGGTTGCTGGGCTGGAGAGGTGGACGCAGGAGCAGCCTCGGTATTGACGGTGAATGTGACCGAATCCGTCGATGTCGCGCCGGACAAATTGATATTGAATGTCTTCGAGTGGCCATCAGTTTGCCAACAAACCCGGAGCTGCGCAGATCACTCACGAATGGACCAGGGCCTTGAGTATTGATCACAAAAGTAACTCCAGACGAGATAGAGAACGGTGCAGTGGCAGTCGAAGTGTTTGCAGGCATGGGTGGTCGCGGTCAAAGGGAAAGTTCAATGGAGGTGGCAGAGGCAAAAGAGACATTTTGGCGGCATTCAGAGCACAGTCCCCGCCTGGCATCCTCCTGGGCGTCGGTACGACGATGGCGGGAGAGCTCAGAATGATGAGGAATGATGTGTTAGGCTGCACCTTTGTTTGGTATCCGTCACGAAGGTCAGATTGATCTCATTGTTGCTGCCGTCTTTCGGAGCTCAAAATTAGGGTCAATTAAGGTCAAGGAATAACATCTTTCGGTCGATATCTCTGCGACCTGATTCTAACAATTTTCCTGGTTTGCGGTGTATTATTAGCAGATTAGGCCGGACGCTTCCTTTCAGCAAGAACCTCGAGATTGATAACCTGCGAGGAAGAACTGACCAAGAGCCAACTTCGAACTTGGGAGATTTTCGCTCGAGCCCGGTTGAGAAGAATCTGCCTCTGCCCATCTTCAAGGCTTAATGGTCGTATGAGCGCGGTAGCAGCGGTCTTGCAATTTCTCTCAACTCCGGTGTTGAACCCGTAGCGACAAGACTCAATGAATTTAAGATAGTCACAAGTACAGAGAGCTTCAAGTTGTGGAAGAGCATGGGCAAAAGAGACTCTGCGAGCCCGAGGTGAGGCTTTTCCACAGCGGTGCCAAAAGGAAAGACAGCTACAGCCATGCCTCCAGTAGGAATTGAACCTACATCTCCTTCGGACTAACGTCGGTCGGCGGTCCTTCACAAGGCGAAGGCGATCTTGCATTGATCCATGGAGGCTTATTGAATTCACTGTGACTCCTGTGAGGGCGAGCTGCTGGGTGGACGTTCAGAAGGCGTGGCTGCAGTAAGTAGCAGTGTCGATTCAGGTGTTGTCGAACCAATTCAATGCGAACCTCCGGTTGAACCAACTTCCGAGGTAATAGCCTAAATGCAGTTGGACGCTCGAAGGAATCCCCAGGGCAGAGATGATGAGACAATGAGTATCGACCGCGTATCCACCGAACTGCCGCGAGGCCAGCGAGGGAGCGGTCAGCATAGAATTGAACGGAACCGTTGAGATTGAACGATTCACAGGTCGGAAGTTGGTTTACTCCACATATCGCGGGTAGAGGAGGGCGGAACGCGCATTGCGCCTGTGGGAGTAAAAGCCGGGGATGGGGCGCGAACACGGAGACAGCGGGCGGCCAGGACACGGAAGGCTACGAGACGGGGCAGGCAGCGGCGAGCGTAGGCGCGACGTCGGCGGCACGGGGACGGACGCGGTGTATGGTTTGAGCGGCATGCAACGTCGACGGGCCGGGTGAGTAATTCGGGTTAGAAGGGCGGCGGAGTAGTCATCGGCGGTTGTTGATGTCGGGGGTAGAGTAGCCTAAAGCGTGTATTGGATTGAACGGGGAACGGGTCAAGAACGGGTATCCAATTAGATGGAAAGAAAGCCAAGGGGTCCTTGGATAGAGCTTGGTCGTTGTTGGAGTTCATCTAGTTGGGCAGCAGTGCCAGTCGTTGTTAAAGTATAACTGCAGCAACACTTTTCAGCGACGGGCGCCGTCGTCGTACGCACTGCCTGCATCGCAGCATCGTTTCGCCGCGCGTCTTGGCCGTTTTCCGCTAGTCTGTAGTTGATCGCGGGGCCATAACCGGTCGCCTGCTTATTACCAATCATGACCAATCTTTTTGGCGGGGGGCTTGCCCGATCATTTTCCTTCTCGACTCCTGCAGCAACCACAACAGACCATTACCTCGAAATTTTGCAAAATCGGTGAACTTTAGGTCCACTCCGAGGCAACTAGCTGTTCAAAATATTTTTTTGCGCCTGGTTCAATTCGAACCAAGAGCTCGGCTGATGCGGCATGCCGGTGGATCAAATCTCGGCTTCCTCCGCACGGAGGTTTGACACTGCAAAGTAGTGAAGGAAAATACTCATCCAACCTCCCTGAACATGTTGACACCGTAAAACGCGTCGGGGACGCGCCATAAGCATGTTTTTAGCACCCAGAAAATTGTGATTGGTAATAGGCGGGCGAGCGATCGAGTGATGGGTTTCATTAACAGACTACAACATAACGAGGTACGAGATAATTTGTTGTAGCGTCTGTCTACGAGAGACTAGTTTTCCGCAGCGGCGGCGTATAAGTAGTCAGCCTGATCATTGATGTCTGATGAGCCTGTGATCTAGACAAGCCACGCATTCCCAGAAAGGCAATACCCGCTTCTCCCTCACCCCGCCAGCCATGTCCTTCCTCAAGCGCCACCCCACCGCACACGACAACGACGACGAAGACGAAGACGACACCATCGACCCCGAGCTGCGCCTCCGCACAGTCCGCACAGCCCACTCGGCCATCGCAGAGTCCATCGTCGCAGATGCCCGCCAGACCCGCAGGCGGCGGCGCTTCTTCCGCCGTAGAGGCGAGAAGGACAGGGAGCGCAAGCTCGAGGGGGGCGCGCCGCGGCCGGAGGGGAGGAGGAGGAACGTCTATGTGGGGACGGCGTTGCCGCGCGGGGAGGTCGATGCCAGTGGGGATCCGCTCGTGAGGTATCCTCGGAATAAAGTCAGGACGACGAGTGAGTCGTGTGGCGGGTCATTCACTGTCTTGTGTTGCATACTGACCATGGACCACAGAGTACACCCTGCTCACATTCATACCGAAAAACCTGTACGAACAATTCCGCCGAATCGCGAATCTCTTCTTCCTCACTACCGTGATTTTCCAATGTGGGTATTGTCTTATCCATTCATTCACTCTACTAACCCAGTCCAGTATTCCCCGTCTTCGGCGCCGCCTCAGGCGCCGTCGCCGTCCTCCCCCTCGCCTTCATCCTCACCGTCACCGCAATCAAAGACGGCATCGAAGACTACCGCCGCGGCCTGCTCGACGAAGAGGTCAACAACTCCCCCACCACCCGCCTCGCCCTGCCGCCGCTGCACAACCCCCACCTCCCCTCCTCCACCGAGGCGCGCCCTACGGGCAACGCGAATCCGAACCAGCCGCGCGACGGGCGGACGTGGCTCGAGAAGCTCATAGGCACGAATCAGCCGGGGGCCGTGAGCAAGGGCGTGAGGAAGCTGCGCGCGCTCGAGGCCAAGGGCCCGCTGGGGGGCAGCAGTGAGAGTACGTTGAATGTGGATACGCGCTCCTTGGCCTCGACCGCGCACTCGCACTCGTACCCCCCGCCCGCGGTCCTCGACCCGCACATGCGCCCCGGCACCGCACAGTGGGAGCGCACCCTCTGGAAGAAGCTCGAGGTCGGGGATATTGTCTTGCTGAGGGAGGATGAGCAGGTGGGTCATTGCTACTATTATTATTCTAGGTACCAACTAACGACGACGCGCCGCAGGTTCCCGCCGACATCCTCGTCCTCGCCACCTCCGACCCGGACGGTAACTGTTATCTGGAGACGAAGAATTTGGATGGGGAGACGAATTTGAAGGTGTGTGTAACACCTCTACTTTCTTTCTTTCTCTTTAGCCGTGTGGGCGGGCGGTGGGCGGTGTGCCTTGCAGAAGGGTCGCGGACGCTCGCATTCAATTTGCGTTGGCAATGACTTGGCACTTCTACTGCCGGCCAGCCGCGATACTTGCTTGCTTGGTGCTCTACCCAGACCCCTCTTTCTTCCTCCCTCCCTTTTATGCCAATCAACCGCCGCCGATGGTGTGGGCGGTGTGGCGTCGTTGTGCCTTGCAGAAGGACGAGATCCACGGCGCGGGGGAGATCCGCACGCAATTCAATTTGCATTGAGGCTTGGCGCCATGCCCCCCGTCGCGGTCTATATTCTCGCCCTGGGGGCCGGGGTTGGCGTTTCCTCTGGGGAGGATCGACGGCGCGGGGGAAATCTGCTCTAGCTTAGCGCGTTACTCTTTACTCCTCCCTCCATCTCCCTGCCCCCTCTGTCTCCTTACACCAACTAACAACCCCTCAGCTCCGCAAATCCCTCCCCGCGACCCGCGGCCTCTCTTCCGCCGAAGAAGACGTCCAGCGCGCGCGCTTCGTCCTCGACTCGGAGCCACCGTCGCAGAACCTCTACTTGTACCACGGCGTGCTGAGGTACCGTGATTTTAGCGGGGGGAGCGCGTTTAGCAGCGTACATGCGGTAAGGGAGGGGAGCGATGCGAGCTTTGAGCGGGATTTCCATGGGGGTGGGGGTGGGGCGGCGGGGGCGGCGTATGGTGGGTGCTTCTTTCCTCTCCTGGTCGTACTCGTACTGAAAATGGGGCGTTAGTCGGCGGCGCGGAGGACCGCGCGGAGCCGGCGAGCATCAACGAGCTGCTGCTGCGGGGGTGTGCGTTGCGGAACACGGCGTGGGTGGTCGGGCTCGTCGTGTTCACCGGCTCGGACACCAAGATCATGCTGAATGGCGGGGAGACGCCGAGTAAGCGGAGTAAGGTGCGGCTCTCTCCTCCTCCTCGAAACACCATTTCGCTGATAATGGAAAACGCAAACGCAGATCGAGAGCGAGACGAACTTTAACGTGGCGGTCAACTTTGGGGTGCTGCTCGCCATGTGCGTGATCGATGCGATATTCAGCGGGCTTGAGGACGCAAGGACGGGACGAGCGCGAGGTTATTTGAGCAGGGGACGGATCCGACGAACATTTATGTGCTGAATGCGCTTGTCACGTTTGTGTGAGTGCCGCCGTTTTTCTCCTCCTCGTTGTTTGATACTGAAGAACGGGATGCGACGCAGCTCGTGCATCATCGCGTTCCAGAACATCGTCCCCATCTCGCTGTACATCTCGATCGAGATCGTCAAGACGATCCAGGCGTACTTTATCTCGCAGGACATTGAGATGTACTACGAGGGGTACGACACGCCGTGTGTGCCCAAGACGTGGAATATCAGCGATGACCTTGGGCAGATCGAGTGCGTGCTCCTCCGTCTCCCTTTGTTTTGAACAGAATGAACGCTAACGACGACCCCAGGTACGTCTTCTCGGACAAGACGGGCACGCTCACGCAAAACGTGATGGAGTTCCAAAAGTGCTCCGTGAACGGGATACCGTACGGGGAGGGCGTGACGGAGGCGCAGCGCGGGGCGGCGACGCGCGCGGGGCAGGCGGACACGGGAGACCCGCTGGAGCTCAGCGCCAAGCTCGCGGGACTCAAGCAGACCATGGTCAGCACCATGGAGCGCGCGTGGAACAACCGCTACCTGCAGCCCGACGCGCTCACGCTCGTGTCCCCCGGGCTCGCGGCGGCGCTTGCGGACCGCGCGTCGCCCGAGCGGCCGCACCTCACCGCGTTCTTCCGCGCGCTCGCGCTCTGCCATAGCGTGCTCGCGGAGCAGCATGCCAGTCAGGAGGAGGGGGGGAGTTCGAAGGGGGCACCGCCGATCCGGATTCAGTACAAGGCGGAGAGTCCGGATGAGGCGGCGCTGGTGGCAGCAGCGCGTGACGTGGGGTTCGTGTTCGTGAGCAAGGGGCGCGAGATGACGGAGATACAGGTGCTGGGGGAGACGGAGCGGTGGACGCTGTTGCGGGTGCTCGAGTTCAACTCGACGCGGAAGCGCATGAGCACTATATACCGCGCGCCGGACGGGAAGCTGGTGATGTACTGCAAGGGTGCGGACAGCGTTATCTATGCGCGGCTCACGGCGGACCATGATCCTGCGCTCAAGGAGGCGACGCGGAGGGATATGGAGGCGTTTGCGAATAGCGGGCTGAGGACGCTGTGTATCGCGTGGCGCGTGCTGGGGCAGGAGGAGTATACGCGGTGGGGGGCGGGTGTATGACGAGGCGACGAACCGGGTCGAGGGGCGGGACGAGGCGATCGAGGCGGC